AGTAGCATTTATACAATTCTCTAAATCATGATGATAATTTTTTTATACAAAATATTTAGGATATTTTCAAAATTATGTTTCTTTAACTTCTGCAGCTAATAATCCTTTAGCTATTTTCATTTCATGATGTAAAGTTTCCATATTTACGTTTAATAATGATTCTAATCGGGCCATTTTGTCCGTTATAAAATAATCACTATCAAAGGGGGACAAATGCATTAAAACTTGAAAGAAGATTATAATCATCTTGTGTAAATCTATCTAAAAAATTATCAACAAAGTAATCAATAATTCCATAATAATTCCATTTTAAAGAACTCCAATTGGAGTCTTTTTCGCAATCAAATTGTAATTTGGGAATTTATAGGCGTTTTACGTACGCTTGATGATTTGTAGGGAGTGAGATTAAATTTTGCTAAAAGTTTTTCAGCTTTTATTCTAATCAAATCAATAGAATTATTGCTTCTTATATTTTTTAAATATATTGATAGTGGTACAATTTTTAGCATCCACTTGATAAGTACCTACTGACTGTAGATACTTATATAGTGGATCTATTGTTATATATCTCATAAATTATAATGGCTAATATAGCGTTATTTATATTAACGTATTGAGATAAAAGACCAGAAGCTTTGACAGAATTGTCAAAATTATTGTATTGGTATATATTTTGTTTTTTTGTAAATTTATTATATGTATTTTTATAACGCGCAATAATCCGATTTGTTAACCTTAGCGCATTGATTTGTTTTTGGGATTGTGAGACTCATAGTGAGTCAGTTTTATATATATTTTTTGAAAAAGAAATTTTGTAAAATTAATTAATATTTTTTTTCGTGTGTTCTTGTTTGAAAAATAAAAATAAATTAGTTACAGGCGCTTACGCAGCGGGGGGGGCAGATTTAACATTCTTTTCAAAATAGAGGATCTTAAATACAGATACTAGTATCTTATTAAAAATGTCAAAAAGATAATGAGTGGTACAAAAGGATCTTGTATCTTAGATACAAGTAATCGTGGCACTGCCCAACTCTGGACATTGGATAAACTATATCAATTATAAAATCAACGATAACTATCAGCCAGTTTCTCAGAAATATTGGCATGTGCAATATTATTAATCAATTTAGCTAGAATTGATTGGTCTTTTTGAATGTAGTCTACTCAATAACAAAATTATTAAGATGTTTTTCTATCTCTTTAAAATTGTTAGCATGAACATTCTTACAAAATAAATATACTATTAGAATTTAAAAATGACAATTACCTTTAGGTTTTTTTTGAGGTTATAGCTATATTTGAGGATATTTTTTACAGTTAAACAAATAAATTTGTAGCAACCTTTTGTTTTTACATTAATATGAAAATATTTTCAAATTTTGGAAATGGAAAATTTGTATTATTGTTATCAAGAACATTTTCTTCCAGAGTACCTTCCATTTCATTAATATCATTTACCTGACTCACTTACATCGATTTGGATATCCATTTGCGATGACATTATAAAAAACTTACACCAGATGATTTAGGTTTATAATACATATTAAAAATATAAATTTCAATTTCAAGATTAAATAATAAATTATAAAAATTATAATTAATTATGATATCATCGGTCTAGAATTGGAGTGCTCCACTTGCGCAAATGTTTAAAATGAGAAAATCAACATTAAAGTTTAAAATCAAATATAGGCAAAACTTATTGACCAATTTAATTAAAATTTTCAGAGATAATTTATCATATTGTTAATTAATTATTGCCTAAAAATTTTTGCTCATAAAATTTAAATATAAAATTTATTTGATAAAATAAAAATGCAAGTGAAGCAAATATAACACTTTATAAATTTTTTTTAAGTTCAAAATGCCCCATTTACATTTTTTTATTATAATTTAATAAATATATTCAAAATAATAACTTCAAATCATAGAAATTAACATTATATCTTAATTTATTTCTTATTTGTTCATTTAATAATGATCTTTAACAGGAAGTCATGATAATTCATCACATTTTTTAGAATATAAATCATATATAATTGAGACTTCCCTCAAAGTACTCCTTTGAAGAATCTTTTTGCATGTTTCCAGTATTTTGATATAAATTTTTTAAAGAAATAACTAATAATTACTTATGTCAAGTGTTTGTAAGAATAATTATATGCAAACTCTAACTTTAACATTCTCCGATTTAAGAAAATATAAGTATGAATAGTTTTTATAATTGAAAGAATCTTTTGCCCTTCTCTTACATGTAGTCCTAACAATAAATTTGCAATAGAAAGATTTTTTAGCTTCATCAGCTAAGCTCCAAAAAGCCTCTACTCTGATCTGCATTAACTTTTTATGACATTGAAATGTACATTAGTTAGAATGATCATTCTGAACCATCCTTTCTCTTTTCAAATCACCTTTAATTGATATAGGTCTCACCACATTCTCTTAGTCTTTTCTTTCATTTGATTTGCTTCTAGAAGTTGAAGGTAAATAAAAATAACTCTTTATATTTAAGAGCAAGGCTTAACCCTTGGTGGGGTGTATGTATGAAACCCCAGGCTTGCTAGAATTGATATTACATAAAAATGGTTTTTTATTAAAATCTGAAATCTTCAGTAGCTTCATTAAATATATCTTAGAATCTATATTCTAAATTTCATATATTTTGGTTTAGTAGATTTTAAGATATAAGACAGAGTTATTATGCAATTAAAATTTTTTTTTTTATAATTATCTCATTTTTCAAATTATTTTTATCATTTATTATCATATCAAAGAAAAAAAAAGGATATAATGCTATCAACTTTTCACTATAATAAAAATATTGATAAAAAAATTCAAGCAAGCCTGGAATGATGACATTTTATAATATGACCAAAGGTAAGTTAGATATGGTGTATGATCAAAATAATGAATTATCATAAATTTTAAAAACAATTATTAATAAAAAATTTACCTTGACATTAAAATAATTTAGGATAGATATGGAATCAAAATATTTTACAATTCAATATGGAAAAGCAAAAAATTAAAAAGGAAGAAAATACAACACGTGATTAAATAAGATAATAGGATAGGCCATGCATATGAAAAAAATACATCGTTATATGCAAATAGCGGAAAATTGACAGTGCTATAACTTTGGCAAAAATTAATATCTTTTAATCTAGTTCTTATTTATATATATATATATATATTGGAAATAAATAATTTATTATCCACTTTTAACTCAAAAATTTTGAAAATGTCGAGTGGAGCACTCCAACTTTAGACCGACGATATAATATTTAAATTTTCATGTTTATAGTTACATTTATTATATTTTTAGAAAGCAGCTAAAAAAGGAGCGCGCTAAAAAAATAAATAATTGGAAAAAAGTAGTGTGCTACTAGCTATAGCTACAAGCAAGCTACTTTAACAACTGTGCTATTAATAGAAGTGGCATTTTACTAACAATTCCTAGTTCTTCTTCTTTAGAAAGAAATTGGTTGATTTTGGTTATATTCTTACTAAAACAGAAATCGATTGAAGATCCTGACAACAGGAAATTTGAAAAAATATTTTAAAAAATGATAATATTGAATATGAATCAGAACAAGACTATGCCACGGAGAGTGAAATATTAGTTATTGAATGACAATGAATTTAAAAAATATAAAATTAATATAAAGTCTTTCTATATAAAATCAATTTTATAACCCGACCATCTCAAATTTTGCTACAATTTGGTATATAAGTTAATAAAGTGTTGTAATTGACGAATCCAAAATATAAGCCCATTAACTCTACTAGTACCGGAGATATAGTCTCAAAGTTGCTCTGCTTGGTCATTTTTCTAAGTTCATTTTACTATATTATACAAAATAAAGTTAATATTATCATAAAAAATATTTATTTGAATTTAACTAATATAACCGTTTTTGACCGGTCAAATGCACAACCCAGGTTTTAACTAGTCACAATACAAATCACAATCACAGGAAATTATTGCTTTGGAAAAATAGAAAATGACTAAGTTGTAATGTGTTAGATGAAAATAGGATTGATTCGGACTGTGTTTCGATGAAACAAAATGAATTGAAAATATTTCTAATATTTAATTTTCGGGCAGCCCAAGCCCGAGAATCCTTCAGTGTCCGAGCCCGACCCATCGGGCATCCCGTACAGGACTCTTATGATAGACTGACTCTCCGGTTCAGCCATCGTTAATAGAGTTAAATATTTTAAACTATCTAATTTGTTATTGATAATATTCTCCACTATATTTTATTCAAAATATAATAAAGTCTTGATAATTGGGTATTTTAATAGAATTTTATAGGCTTGGGCTCATTAATTTTTAAAAATTGATAAATTATTTTTTTCTACCAATTGAAAGGAGCTATTTGATATTGAGAGTGTTGATGAACAATTAAGTTGTGTTTGATTTTTTTGAGTTATAGTATCAACCAAATTTCTAATTTTAGATTTTCTTGACACATTATTAAAATTTTTGGCATTTTCTTTAAATTTATGTTTGAGAAATTATTTTATTAGGAATATTGGAAACTGGTATACATGTAGTATCATCATCAGTGTAGTTATTATCATTAATCTTATTTAGTAATGTAAAGGTAGGAAAATTTCTCGGGAAATCCTCTATTTTTACACACTAAGTATACGTTAATAAATAAAAACCTAAAGATGATTCTTGATAATTTTATAATAGTAAATAAAAGTTGGTTCGGTTCCCTGTTTATTTTCGTTCTCTTCTATTATATATTTTCCTTCTGACTGGCGTTTTTCTAAAAAACCTAAAAGAAAAATCTCAAATTCTTAATTTTTATTTTATTTCAGTTATATAAGTTTTTGTAGTATTTAGATTTAGATATCGGCGAAAATGGTATAGGTGAGTTTCTGATAAAATTTTTATTAAAAATAATAAATATCTCTGCATTATTATTATGTATTATATTGTAAACAGTGAAAGTTGATAAATTTATTATTTGTGCTAATATTAGAAGGGTTGGCGATTCACCAATTCCAGGAGCTGGAGGATATGCTGATAACTCATTTGGTGCTGCTGTAGCAACTGGAGATGGAGATATTATGATGAGATTTTTGCCTAGGTATTTTTTATATCTTTAGATTATATTTCTCTATACATGATTTTTATATGTTTACGATGTTTATGATTATTGATAAATAAGCTTTTATTTTATGTTTAAAAAATTATAATAATACTTTTTAATATCTAGCTATCAAGCTGTGGAAAATTTGCGCAACGGAATGACTCCAATCGACGCTGCTAATGATTCCTTACAAAAAATAAAAAATACCTTCTTTTTATGGTGCCATAATAGTTATGGATAAATTTGGGAATCATTGTACGCACTATACATTTATATTAATCATTTATTTATTTTTAGCTGCTAGTTGTCATGGTTGGGATACTTTTACATACACATATAGGACTCGAGAAAAAAGCACACGTTATATTGATATTGAATGTTCAAGAATATTTTAAAATTTTATTATTTTAAAACTACAATAAATTATTACAAAAAATGGTAATATTGATAATATTGCTTTTTTTAAAAAAACCATTTGAGCAAATCAAGACATTTTACTTTAATAATGTAACAAAAACGATTTTTCAAATTGATTGAAATAAAGAATGATAGTGATAAATAAGGCCTTAAATGTTATTTTATAAATAATTCACCTAAAATCGACAAAGGAAAAATTTCCCTGGTGTAATTCCACGATAACACCAGAATCGCGACTATTTTGCTCACTAATATATGCCATATCTTCCTTGAAATCTAATATGTTTTCATTTATGTTATCGGTTTGTTCACCAATTCTTCTAGATTTGCTTATATTTGAATGCTTGAAATGTGAATGGTTTTTATAATTTGATTCCTCAAAACAATTTATTTTGATTATTTCATCTGCAAAAGTCTTCATTTCTTCATTCTAATTATAAATTAATTTAAATATACAATATATAATTTTTTTAAAAACTTCGGCTATTGATTCTTTTAAATCTTCCACAAATTTTGTACGGTCATGTTCTGATTTTGCATTTAGGTTAATAATTTGATTATTATTGTTTATTCTTATTAGATATTTATAATCTAAATATATGAAAATAGATATAAAAATTTAAATTAGATTTTTTTAAAGATAAAATTGAAATCGAATCCCCCGAAATGTCAAAGGAAATTGTGAATTTTTTCTAATAAAATTCTATTTTTATTTTGAATTTAGTGAAACTTGTTATCTTCTATAGTATATGATTATTATTTTTTTTAATGAGGTGACCTTTACCACAAATTTCACTCATGAAGGATTAGTATAAAATGTTTTTTTAAAATAGGTAAAATTTTAAGGTACAAATTTATAATATAATATTTTACATTGATTTTGGCATGTTTCAACAGTCATTCCGACTAAGTTCAATGCTTTGCGAAATTTATAGGTCGTTGAGTTATAGAAAATTTCTGAGGTTTTTCTAAGCGAGCAATTTACATTATAGTTATTATCATTTGAAAATTGATTATTATATTGAGGCATTCTTGGAGTAATATTTAATGATGATTTAGTAAACCGCCCTTGATTAAAGCTTCTCTTAAAATTATTATTATCATTTTTGTCTTTAATTAAAGATGGTTCCGAACCTCTTATAGATTTATTCAATTTATTTTCGGTTAATAATTTGCAGATAACTAATAAATCATTAAAGAGAAATACTTCGCGCTGATGAGTTCCTAATTTTTCTTTTTTAGCGAAATCGCCTATTTCGTAAAGCCGACAATAACAAACTAAACGACGAAATGGTAAAGCTAATACCTATCAAAATATATTTTAAACATTTTAATTCTTAATAACGTAAGTATAAATATCTTTATAAAATCAGATTTGAAAATTTATAATATATACCAATTTTTTATTAGTAGCTCTTACATATGTCAATTTTCTTTGTTGAAGCAAATTTAACATTAAACCTGGAGTTTCCCAATTAGCAAACTGATAACCCAGAGCATAAGGGACTCCGAATCTAGTATAAAATTTATAAAATTGACCTGACCTACCTGATCCCATTAAAACAGAAATATTTTTAGCCCCTATCAATTTTAATAAAAATTAGTATGAAGATTATAAGAGTTATATATAAAATAAAAAGATAAACGAAGTTTTAGTTCTTTAAGGGTGCACCCAAAGTCAAAAAAATTTTCAATCCAAATTAAAAGATTTTCGCATTTAGAGATTATGCATCAAAACTCAACTTCGTAAATTTCAATAAATAAATTTTTTTAAATAAAATTTTGACTTTGGATGCATCCTAACTTTTATATTAGCTGAGATAATTGTTAAAGGGATTAAAGGTGTAAAAAAAATATTTTAACTCTTTCGAATAATCAGTCAATAAAACAAAGTCATTCAAAATATAATTTTTTTGATGAATTTAATGTGCTGATTTTATTTTCTATCTAAAAAAATATTATAAAATATATTAAGAAGAAATTATTTAGTTGAATCGGCAAATTTAGATGAATTTCTGTAAGTAAAACCCTCTTTGGATCATCTGGGATTACACATATCTTTTGTCCTATTTTTTTGAAATTTTTTAGGGTTTCTTAAATCACTGGAATAAACAGTAGACTATTTAGATGTCCCTATTAGTTTTGCTCTCGTGATGGAGCAAAACGATCTGAGCAAATATAATCCAAGCAAGGTGTGTACATTAGTTATAAAGGATTGGGGTCATCCCATCAGATCTTGTTTGATTATCGGAGCTGAGACCAGCGAGGAAGGAATATTTTTGGCTGCCAACGTCCTATTTAAAATCGAATGGATGGCGTGCGGGTAATTGTCTTAAAAGAGACGATGCTGAGGGTGGTGTCCTAGGCTATCCATATAGGTATTACAAAGAGTAAATATGGTTGATGTGACAATTTGGCAGCCTAATTGAAGACTAATAACGATTTTAAGCTTTTCGTTGGTAAGAGATCCAGCTTATAGCTAGGCAATGAAATGCTGCAAAGTACAGTCTCTTTGTTTCATAGCATTAAAATAAGAGCTGCTGGGAGCGTTTTTCCTATAGAGGTCTAAGGCTGTAATGTGGGATGGATAAATGATAATAAAGTTGCTAAGAGTTTCACGAAATTTGGCAACTGATAATAGGAAAGCTTTGAGGGAAGATGATGATATTTGAGATTAAAATGGATTCGAAAATTTTAGATGAATTTCGAGGGCTAGTAACATTTCTGGGGGCATAAAAATTGGCGGTGAATAAAAGTCATTTAAAATTTTTAGTTGAATAAAAAAATTTAAGTTTTCGTTTGGATTAAGTGATATAGCCACGTTACAGAAATTAAACGATGCTTGATTGCCTGCATTTTTATGATCTCATCATAAGGATCAGCTAGAGAACCATCGAGATACCTCATTCAATTTAAGATCCATATTTGTTGTATACCCTGACCAAATAATGGGAGATCTAGTAGATCTCCTTGCTGAATACTACGTATAGAGCGAGAGATAAATCTAATATTCTGGGAATATTTGCAGTAACAAGGTATAGTGTATTATGAAGGATGGCACGAGTGGATTAGAATGCAGTCTCACATCTTAGAGGAATATTAAATCCCAGATGGTTAGGTTTTATTATAATAGGCAAGCGTGTTTTACCCGATGTCATGTTTTGCTTAAAGTTATCAAGCGAGCTCCAAATTTGATAGTAGGATGATTTGTGTATGGAATATTATTGTAAAACAAATGATTAATTAATATTGTGAAAGTATATTTTGATATAGTGTTGAAGTACGGATGGTTTAATTAAATGTTGTAGATAAATGGCTCAAAAGCTATCAATGCTACCAGAAAAAAATCTTTTTTAAAAGATTTAATTGCTTCTATGTCACTTAGGGATCTTTGGATTGTAAGGCATTTAAAAGTATTTTTTCATCGTTGGAGGCAATTATTTCATTAGAACATGTTGCAGAGATTTATTTTTAATGAGCTTTGTCTTTTTTTGACTTTCATGTTTCTAGGGGTATCAATAGTTGATATAATAACAACGGACCATTATCTCAAATGTTTTATGCTTATTTATCGTTATCAAAATAATGTAAATCTTTTATCATTATTCCATCATGGAAATACGAAAGGTGGTAACAATCATTGCAGCCGAAGTGGAAACCAAGCCAATATATTCTACATAGAGCCTCAAAAAGGTATTATGCTAAGGCCATATTACGATTCCAAAAAGACTATCACTCCCAGGGATGAACTACTAGCAACATACCTGTTCAGCCTCCTCAATCTTTAAAATATATGCCTCAACCGAAGATCGTTGCTCTACCATAAGCCTCCAAACTGACAACCTTTACCAGCAGTGACTACCCATCAAAGAACCGGACAAGATACATATCGTCCCAAAGACCATTTACCGATTATTCCTTTTAATCCGGGGTACTCGAATAAGAGGAGTGATGAATAGATTGTTTGCTGAATGAAATACATTGCCTCATCAACAGAACACCGACGGCTTTCTCCGCACCGCAGTATAAGTGTGGCTTGCATCTTAATTCATTTTAGGGTTAAGTTAGTGAATCATCTGGGTTCCTTTTTTATTAATTTCATATAACAAAAATTTATCATTCAATTTACAAATATCACTTCCTTCTTTTTTAAATTAATATAGATGTATTCTCATACTCCGGTACGGTGACAGACATTCCTTCTTTTTCAAATTAAAGTAATATAGAACGACGGCCGCACTCATACTACGGTGCGGAGCAATCCGTTACTTATTTTTCTAAGTAGCATTGGAAAGCCGTACTCATGCTGTGTGCGGAGAAATCTGTTCCTTATTTTCCAAATTAATGAATGAAATTCGCAATCATAAGGCGGTGCAGCGACCGCCGTCTATATGAGACATAGTTGCATAATAATGAATTATGGTTCAACTAAGAATTGATTGGTTAGGGATGCAGCCCACCCTTTTCATTTAAACAACCCCTGCCGATCTTGGTGTGTTACAGTTGTCGTCTCTTTACCAATGAGTGAGGTTTTAGTGGTTTTGGTTGATATTAATACGATGAACAAAAGTCCAGTAAAACCGGGTTGCGCAGTTTTAATCGATCCCTCTACCTCCCCACTGTTTGAACAGTCCAAAGACTCGGCATTGGACATAACACTATGTCCATTTGAAATTTTATTTTTATTTTTATTAACTAATTATTGAATTTTTCTAGGTTCTAGGATTATTTAGAAGACGGGCCATCGAGGGGACTAGGGTAGTCATATATTTAGTGCGCCATCTAGCTTTGGGTTAGGATTAAGAGGAGTAGCCTTGACCATAGGACTGATGTGGTAGAGGACTTAAAATAAAAATGCACACAGCGTTCGACACATGTCAATTTGGATCTATTTTTTATTTTAGAATGTAAGCCAAAATATAGCATGTTACTATGAAATAGTAAACATGGTCAAATTTAAGTCAACGTATAAATTATTGTAAAAGATTTTTTAAAATAATCATTATTAAAATAATTAAAGTTGAAGTAAAATAAGGGAAAGTAAAAAATCGTCCTTTTCTACAAACAATCTCGTCCTTTTATAGGTTTTTTTTACCGATTATGTGTACTTAACCAATCATAACATCCCAAACCTGGCGGCATCGTGATGTGCTGTTTTTATCAACCAACGCGGTGTCTTAAAATTAGCGTAACCTCCCCCCCCCCATCTCCCAATTTAGTCAGACACAAATATAAATGTGGTAAAATATGCAGTCATATAAATTAACAGTCTTTGTTCAACAAAAATGAAAGTTACTGTTTATCACTTTCGAATTTTGCATGGCTAGTTAATTTCGATAAAGTGGTGAGTAGTTAAAATTAATTAAATATACTGTAACACAAAAGTTTTCTTCAATAATTTGCGCGTACGAATATTACAATATATAATATAAATAATAAGTCTAAAAGATACAATATAGTGCAAGATAAGGCATTTTTAATTATATAGAAACATTATCAATAATATTCGAATTGAAATATGAAATGACATACTTTTATGAGTTTTTGTTAAAACAAATTATTTATATATGTCGTAGTGGTTTAACAAATTCATAATTATAAATCAATAGACGTGGATTTTTAATAATTTCTAAAAACTTAAAATGCCCTTGCTTTTAAATTTTGAAAAATAATTTTATCGTTTTTATTTCAAACATTTTTGTCATTAAATGTGCATTTTATAGATATTCACAGGTTGGCGATATTTGCTGAAATACAATTTCGACATAAACAAGCCATTAAAAAAAACCCAAGCTATAAATTATTTAAGTTTTAAAGATTTGCTAAAAGCCCAGTTTTATTAAATCTCTACAACATATATATCTCATTTTTTAGTTTATTATTAAAATAGGAATTTAAAACTAAGGTCATATAAAAAATAATTAACGATTTAAAATATAGCGCAATAAATTTAAAAAAAAACATCTGAATAAATATTAAATTTTAAAAAAAAACAATCAAAATATCGGTTTACTTGCATCACTATATGAATAGATGTCGTAATGGTTGTTTGAAATAAAAGGCTTTATTATGATTGCCATTGGGTTAATTTTCTCCCTAATAATGTAATATATTTAAGAAATTCCTTACCAAAAACAGCAAGAGTATTGGTGACAAGTGATAAAAACTACTTTAGCCATGTCTGAATGTTTACTTTTAAGAATTGCTGAGGCATTTCTGATGGATCGCGTCGAAATATTAATGCGAAGCTTGTGTTCTCACGCTACTGGAAGATTAGAAGACTAAGGCATTAGGCTGATATATCTAATCTTCTGATAATGCTTGAGCATGATTAGGCTTTAAGGTATTTGGGATGCTGGCCATTTTAAGAGCTTTTGAGATTAAATTATTTTTTGTTTAGCGTGGGAGGTTGCCCATAGAATATCTACAATGTAAAGAATTGTGTCTTTTGGAATATGATACCAAAGAACAATTAATACATTTAGAGGAAGCCATATCGCAGCCAAGGCAAAGAATAGCTATACAAAGTTCTTCATTAGTTAGGACCGAGATTTTTGCTTAGAATAACAGACAGCCATCTGTAACCTGATTTAGAATTCAGAATAACTTGACTGGGACATTGTTCCAATGAATCCTTGATAAGAGATAATTAACGTAGTTAGCTTTTTAAAAGATGGATGTGGATCTGCCAATGCGAGGTTAATAATTGTTACTTCTTTTTTTAAATTTCCCACTTCGAGATCAGAACTGAATAACTTATTATCTATATAATATTTTCTCAAATTTAAAATTACTACTTATTAAATTAATTTTGCATTTGCATAGGGTCTGAATTCATCCAAATTTCCTTAATTTATTTTAAAAAAATATTATTTCCATGTAATTCAATTCAAAATAATTATATAGGATGAGGATCTAGAATTAATATAAAGAAAACTTTCTTCAGTTAAAAACCATAATCCTAAATTAATCAATAGTGGTTATATACATGTAATAAATGTACATACTTGGTATCAAGAGTAGTTGTGACATACTGATGAGACCTAACAAGGTCAAAACCTGTCTATACTTACAAAATTGATATGATGTATTTTAATTCTTTTCAACAAAAAAAAATTAATTTAAGCTGCAATTCTAAAAAATTAATTAGATTAGCTTAAATTAAATTAATAAAAATAAATTTTATAATCACTTAATATGCTGGATTGGAATAAAATAATTTATAAAGTAACTTGCAATGTAAATAATTACATTAAAAGCAACTAGTTACTTTTTTAAAACAGAGCTATAACTAGTTACTTTTCAAAGGTACTTTTATCACACTATTTATGATATTACCTATAAATTGATTATAGTGCTCTAAAATTTTTTAAAAAATAAAAAACTTTTGTTTGCATTCATCTTAATTTTTTTTTATTTGCGTTAATTTTTGTAGACATTCATTTGTCGTGTTAAATTATAAAAGGAAATGTTTGATAATAATTTTTTTAATATTAATTTTAAATTTTCTAATGAGAGTAATATAAATTTCGATTTTTTCGAATTATCAATCATTGACTTATCTATGAGTATTAAATTTAATATTCGAAAGTAAAAATGACTTATTTTCCCATAACCCTTGATATCTCAGAATATAAAAGCTGCAAACCATAATTTCGCTTCTGTTCTAAATTTTTTATAGGAAAGAGGTGTGTTGGGAGATGAATGACCTGATATAAAATGCCTCAAATTTTTAACACATAAGGAAATTAAAGTAATATTTTGTATTAAACTTGCTGCATATGGTAAAAGTAATAACAGGCGTAGCTAGGATTTTGCAAACTAAGGAAGGAGAAAAATTATCGGGGTTTCGTTCTCAGTGAGAAAAAATTCATGCTTTTGCCTGTAAATCATAATAAAATCTTACTGGTTTTTTTCCAACAATAGCTTGTTCTAAACGAAAAACTTGGGTGACGTGGTCAGGATCTGATTTTAATTCTTCTTTTTTAATTCTCTCAAATATTCCCACAAGTATTTCCTTCGAAATATCATAACCGTTATCTAAACCTTTATACTTATGAAAAATGTAAAAGCATAGTTTGAGTTTTACCTTTAAGATTTTTTACAAATTCATTCATTTTCATTCTTTTTTGAGATTTCATACTATAGTTATGGAGATCAGTATTCAACATAATTGTTGCAAATGCTAATATAAATAGCGTATCTTGTGATTTTAGTTTTGACATAAAATTTTGGTTGCAATCTTTGTAGCGCTGACTGAACATCTAAAATAAATTATATACAGCTTTAATATGACCGTCTATTAATTTCTTTTCACAAACTTTTTTTTCTTACAAAAAAAAGAGTTAAAAATAAAATTGAATTACATGAATGATTTAGGATGATAATCGTTAGGTAGTGGCAATCAGTAATTTGTAAAATTGCATAATTTTAATAATCCGGGCCTTAAACAATGAACCTGGACTGCCATAAAAAATTTTATATTTTATCAACAGTTAAATTTAATTTTCCTAAATATTTAGTTAATAGTCCAAATTGGCAATCGAAAAAACTCTAGATATGGGCAGGGCTTAAAAATTAAAAAAAAAATATTCTATAACCCTTTATCTAATAATACTCAGATTGAGCCAATTCGGGGTTACTTATATTTTAAATAATTAAAATTTACATTTACCGTAAAAAATAGATTAAGGTGTAAATTAAATATATTTTCCTTAATTGCTAGAATTAATATTACTTAAAGCAATATTTTATCTTGATTTCAAATATATTATTCATAAAATCGAAGACATTTTGCTAAGTGAAATTGATTTTCTCATTATTTTTTTTTGCTAAATTTCTCAGAAGGTATACTAAATTGTCAGGAATTTTTTCTATTTAAGGTGTTTTTTAAATTTGATTTTCTTATTTAACCTACATTATTTATGAATTTTTGAGTACTATGAAATTAATCATCGTTAAAGCAAGGTCCTCGGTTCTAGGTCACAAGAAGGGGGAGACTTTCCCTAAAAAAAATGTATCGACCATTGTATCAAAATAAAAATTTTTTTTGAATGCTATTAAGTTAGGTCCTCATGTCTTCATGGGAAGGGGGGCTAAAAACCTTTCTAAAAAAATATAATATTCATAAAACAAATGATTTAGTTTCTAAAATAGGCACTTGTAACCAGTAATTTTGCTAGGAAGGGGCCAATTTATTTTTATAAAATTTATAATATACATATTCTTAAAATCAATAGTAAAACTATTTAATTTATTAACATTTTATATATTTTTCTGAGCGATTCATTTTTTAATCTGATTCAGTTTTATATCTGAGCTAATATAAATTTTTTTGAGTATTTCTGTTTTTTATATGAGCATCCAGTATTTATTTCTAAGCAGAAATTATTTAATCTCAGTGTTTAAGGATTTTTTCTAAACATTTCACTTTTAATTCTGAGTGATTAACTAGAAGCTATTAACATTTTCAGAACTTCGACTAGACTAATAAAAATAATTGCACAATTTGTTTCACAGGTTTCTAAAGTTTTTTTGCGTGCTGACCTCTAAATAATATGATACAAAGGACTGAATAATATAAGCTATATAAAATTGTAAATTTGATATTGAGTAATAAAAAATAATTTTACATATAAAAAAATTTACAATATTTTAATAATCCTTACACAATATTTTAGTTCTTACAATATTTTAATAATCTTTACACAATATTTTAATTCTTACACAAATTAATATTTTGATTCCTACACAAATTAATATTTTAATATTCCTTACATAATATTTTAATTCTTACACAAATTAATAGCTTATTTCTCTAAATGTTTCAACTCTCATTTTGGTTTTTACAATATACTTTATTTTTTACAAAATTTTTTTTTTTTAAACTTTTATTTTTCCTTTTTATTTTCCAATTCAAAAAATAAAGAAAATAAAAATAATAATTTATTTATTCCAACGATCGATAATCAGATAAATTAAACATCTATAATAATATCTTTATAATCTGATAAATAAAACATCTATAATAATATCGATCTAAATTAAAAAAAATTTATAATAATAACGATCTACAATTTGATAAATACAATGTTTATAATAATATACTCTATAGCAGGCGCGTAACCAATGGGGGGGAAAGGGGGAAATTCCCCCCCATCGCAAATTTGACTAATTTTATAAATATCATTTTAAGCTAATAAAAATTTTACCCCCGCCCCCCAGATTCCCCCCCCCCCACCAATCAAAATTTTACAAATATTTGAATATCAATTTTCCAACATATTATTCAAAAATATTAATAAAATGGAAAAATATTTAGATCAAACGATAATTTATAAATAAGGCTGAGCATGAAAAAAAGTAATGTGTCGTTAGCAGCGATATCATTATTGAATTCAATTGATCAATTAGAGTTTATCATTGCTGCTAGTTGCATCAATAAATTATTTTTAGCTCACTACTTTGTAGAAATTTACAAAAACCAAATTTAGATTTGGTTCTTGATTTGGCGGAACATTGGAAAATATACATGAACAGGTAGATACAATAAGAATGAATGACGTTGAATCGAAGGCTAAATTTTATGATATAATACTAATTAAACCTCGTCTAGCACCTAGGCCATTATTGAGATGAAAATAAATATTGGCTCAACTGAAGAATATTATAAAATATCCATTTTCATCCCATTCTTAGATACTTTTTTATAGCAAATAAAAGTACGGGTTTTAGATAAAAAACAAGTCTTTAGCAATCTTCAAGTTTTATTACCCAAAGATCCTTCTTCATTTTCTAAGGCCACTATTGGTAAAATTAAATATTTAGAAAAATTTTATTCCTATGAGATTGATAATGAAATAAATTTAATCAGTGAATTCGAATTGTGGTATAAATATTTATACGTTTAGCTATTTTACCTGAGCATGCTATTGATGTGCTCAATCGGTGTAAAGAAACCTTGGCTCAATTTCCTAATATTTCGAAGTTGTTTTATATTCTTGCATGTTTGCCTATTACAACATGTACGAATGAAAGGACTTTTTCCAACTTGAGAAGGTTGAAAACATATTTACGAAGTACTGAATCTCGGCTAAATGGGTTAGCTCTGTTAAATATACACAGAGATTTGGTTCCAAAGACAAACGAAATAATTAAAAATCTTGTATTTGATAAGAAGTTAAAAAAAACTTGTTAATTTAATTATTTTCTAGTCAATATTTTTAACTACTATTAATATTTTCAATAAAAAAAAATTATATTCTACTTATATTGTATGAGAATTTAAGCTGAGGCTAGTTTTTAAAGCAAATTTTAAAAAAAATGACATTACACTTTATTTCAACTTTACACATAAATAAACCTTTACATTTAAAAAAACTTTATTAAATATAATATACCTAACTTGAAATAATAAAAAAGAGGCTTGTAATATCCTATCCATAAGCACGAATTAGTAAATAATAGTTAAAAATAGAAATATAATTATAGCTAAATAAGACCCGGCCTTCGGCCGGGGGAAAGCTGGGTAAAAAGGGTTTGGGGGCGAAGTCCCCAAAAAATTTTTCCCCCCCTATAAGAAAATCCTGGATACGCCACTGCTCATAGCTTACAATAACTACCTTCTTTGAAGAATTCACATCATATTCTCCCCTAAAAGACTTCGTCCATTTCTGTATCGGTCATCTCAAGATTAGCCTTCAATCTGTACAGGATTACCATTTCCCATTTGACTCCTTCCTCCGAGATAGCGGTTTCTGGTCTTTTTTCCTTCAGCGCCGACCGTACGGATTATTTTGCCTTAATGGTCTCTCAGCGATTTCGGGTATCTAGTGGGAAATGGTAATGCTGTACAAATTGAACTGGCTAATCTCGAGATGACCGATACAGAAATGAACGAATTCCTGAGGGGAGAATAGGATGTGAATTCTTCAAAGAGGTAGTTATTGTAAGCTATAGAGTATATTATTATAAACATTGTATTTATCAAATTGTAGATCGTTATTATTATAGACATTTTTTTAATATAGAGCGATATTATTCTAGATGTTTAATTTATCAGATTATAGATCGATTTATTATAATGTTTATTTATCATATTAATAAACATTATTATTATAGATGTTTTTTTATCTGATTATCGATCGTTTTGTAATAAATAAATTATTTTTATTTTCTTTAAAAAAAAGTTTTTTTTATTAATATATTCATTATATTATTTTTTTGAATTTGAAAAATTAAAAGGAAAAATAAAAGTTAAAAAAATAAATATTGTGTCAAAAATATTAGAATATTGTAACCAAAATAAAAGTTGAAACATGTAGAGAAATAAACTATTAATTTGTTTAAGAAATAAACTATTAATTTGTGCAGGAATCAAAATATTAATTTGTGTAAGAATTATTGTGTAAGGAATATTAAAATATTAATTTATTTAAGAATTAAAATATTGTGTAAGGATTATTAAAATATTGTAAGAACTAAAAAATAGGTTAGTTTTATTATTGGCATGAATTGGGTTGGGTTTCTTGCGAATAAAAGTATGGTATCTTTTGGAAATTTATCCACAATTGTTTATCTTCAAATCGTTTTTGGTAATTTACTAAATATTGATTGGATTTCAGACAGGAGTATACGCTAGTCATTCTTGCTAAATGATAATTTTCCCATGCCACATTTCGGATGATTTAATAATTGATTTTCTAAAGAATTTATAATTCCATTGATTGTACACACACATTTTTTAAACCTTTTCCTATGCTTGCTGGGCATTGTTGTAAAACGAGATATAGAATGAGTCGAAGGAATAATAATTTATCATAATCAAATATATAACGCGAAGGCCACGATTGGGAGGAAGATAATCTTTGCGATTAAAAAACGAGCTCTTATATATAAATATGCCTTGGGGTAAAGTACCCCCTTTTCAGTATAAATTTTTGACTAAAAAACCAATGGATATGCCTATCTCATTAGTCTTCTGATTAGCTCAGCACCTCTATGAACAATGATATTATCTTTTATAAATAAATTATAATATATTTTAATAACAAACTAGTCAAATTAGGCATGAAGCATCAGAAAAAAATCTTAGGATCTGCGGTAGCCGGTCTTTGAAAGATCGGTCAGCTTAGGTGCCGATTTCCTGAAAATAGTGGAACTCTCGGGGAAATTTTTTTAATAGGCAAGCTCGGGCATTAAAATTTTGATATATTTTTTGAAATTCAAGCGTTATTTAATTTTTATTAATAACATGAAAATAAATTACAATATGCTTATTTATCTGTATAGTAAATCTATAATTAATAATATATGAAAATAAATTACAATAGTAAATCTATAATTAATATAGTAAATTCGCAAAAAATTATACAAGTTATTTATGATGATCTAATATCACAAATACACAATACAGATATCAAACACAATTTATTTATGAAACAGTGAATGTAGAAAGAAATAGATAACCATAAAGGATATAGTCTTAATTAGAATTCAATATTATTTTATAGATTGAGCGATCAAGTTCTATCAACAGATATGCATATAAAGTTGGACAAACAAAATTCGAACTACATGAAAATTATTATTTTTTATTAAAGTTTATATTTAACAGACTATAATATAAAAAAATGGTTTTAAGTAAAGGTGACCTAAATTTAAATTATAAGACAAGAAAAACATTATGGAGCCAAGAGGTTTTTGAAGTGCATCCTTGAATCGATATGTTGATTCTGTTGAAACACTCATATTGAACCGAGAAGACCGGCCTGGCATTGTATTTCGCAAACTTTTGGTGCATCGTCCCAAAGGGCTGCAGATAAATGTTCAAAAAAGAATCGATGCTAATAAGATTGTTTGTTTAGTAAGTTTGAAAAGCTGTTTACAGTAATTCCAAAGATAAATCTGGAAAATTATAGTGTGTACGTTGCAGTTTCAATGAGAAAAAAAACAAGTTGCAGCTAATCGATTGCTTATACAACATTTGACTCAAATTAATTTTAATGTTGATGTTTTTATGTTTTAGTGATAATTTTAATAAAAAATAATAAATATAAATTTTTATGTTGGAAAGTTCAAGATTTGTTTGTACAACTTTGAATGTGCATAACTTTGGACCCTGCATAGAATTTAATAAAATTCGCAGAAAACATTGATAATTTATCCCTCTCAATTAATAAAATTTTATTGAATTATATTGAGAAATAACAGATATATTACTAAAATGAAAATGTATCAGTTCAATTGGAACACAGTGTAGATATCAAAAATGTGAAGCCAGAAAATTTGTATTAAAAAATTTAACGGGCCGATGCAGATTTTTTGTAAAATTTAAGGGTCGGACAGGGCCTTATATTTTAAGCTGAAACAGGAAAATTTCTTAAAAAATTATAAAGAGCAGGACAGGGCAAAAAATTTAACGGACCGGGTCAGATTTACAGATCTCTACTTTATATACTATATTATATAAATTAAATTTATATTTTTAACATCAATTTTATTGATTAAAAACCTAAAAATACTTTTGGCATACATGAAAAAAAAATGTTATACTTCCATAATTTTTTCGATTATTTGGGCTTCTCCGGATATATGAAAATGACTCAAAAATTTTCGCAAGGCAGCATCAATATTCATATCAGAGAAATCCATTTTAAGTAGTATATATCTAGGCAAGGGTAATAAATATATATCATATATTAGTGGTCATACCTTAAAATCATGATGTTAGAAGGATCTTGAATATTTCCTAAATATTCTCCAACCTTTTGTTTAGATAATCCCTTACGATTTAATAAAAAGACTGCAATTTTCGAAGGATCATTTTCTAAAAAACCTTCCTGCATAAGTAACTTTAGGCCGATTTCTGGTTTCCTAAATAAATTATATATTGTAGCACTATTTTAAATAAGTGATCTTTTGGTTACCAGGAACAAATTGGTAATAAAATTTTTTTATTTATAGCTCCGTCGGTTATGCAGAGCCTAAAAATAATACAGCACTTTTTTGCATAATTATATTAGCTATCACGTTCTTCCAAAAGTTCATACAAACTTTATATTAATTCAATTTCAAACCAATATATCAAATTTAATGAAAAAATATGGTGTAATGGTTTTAATATAAAGTCTTTTTTCAAGACAGGTTCTCATTTTGACTTTTAACCAATACAGACTCTATAATTATTTTTAATATTCAGCAAGGTCAGATTAATCAACTTTAATATATTAGTCTCTTTATGTTATCCAAATCTTCAAAATCTAAGCAAAATAAGAATTCTCTTTTTGAATTTTATGATTTTACAATCTTTATAGATATTTTTTTATCTTTTCTGTTTACTTAGATATAAAATATTAGTTTTATTTTTAAAGAAGATAGTAATCTGATCTATAAGACTATTATATTAGAAAATTATATCGATGTGCATTATGAAATTATAATTAGGAGGTATATAAAAAAATGTGACAGGAATCTTTATGAAACTTATTATATATAATATTAGATGTTATATATAATGTACATTTCAGGTTATATATCTGAGTTCCGATAAAGAAACCATAATTTTCTAAAGAAATAATTTTTTTTTAAAATGAGATTCGCTTTTATTATTTAAACAACTTAAGAATCTTTCAAAAAAATTAACTCGGTAAATTTAATAAAAAAAAATCTGAGAAAATTAAAAATAATTAGTGAGAAAATGAGAAAAATCAGTATTTTTTATCTTGATTGGAAAAAATTATAAGCATTTCAGAATATTTGTTAAAATATACTTTTAATGGCATACAGCACATTTAAAATTTATGTTGGGAAGGGAGATGGGGGGGGGGGAATATTTGCGGCAAAAACTTGAACCAAAATGCCCCCTCCGTACGTACAACAAGAGTGAGAGAGATCGGAAAGGCTAATTTATTTTCTATCACATTAGATAAAGGTTACATGCTTACTTAATAGACAATAAGTAATAAAATATCCTTTTAAAACAGTTGTGTTTATGATTTAATGGGTAGGCCATTCCACATCAAATCAATCATTTTAAAACCCGACCATCTCAGATTTTTCTAAAATTTGGTATATAAGTTAAGGAAGTGTTGTAATTGACGAATCCAAAATATTAGCCCCTTACTCTACTAGAACCGAATATATAAGGTTCAAAGTGGCTCTGCTTGGTCATTTTTCGAAAAAAAATGATATTTTTAAATTGGGATAACTTTAATGTTAGATGCACTATATATATTATTATGGCTCATTTTATAGCCCTAAATAAACTCTTCCACGTATTTAAATGAAATTAATAAATTTTTTTTAAATTGCGGTCAAAAATTTGTAATTAATTTTTTTAAATGTTAGTACAAATTTTTTTTCCCAAATTCCAGATATTTTGTAAAGAGTACCAAGAACTGTTCATATAAAAATTTTCAGAGTGTTAAAAAAATGGTTAAGTAGGAAAAATGCTTTAAATAAGAATTCCGCTTGATAGCCTTAATAATTTTATATAACTTAAAATTTAATTTTTGAAAATATAAGTCAATCTACCTCTTTTTTTATATTCCATGATTAATATTTGATAAATAAAATCGCATTTTGGCACAAAAATAAAATTTCCGCTATATAACGCAAGTAATTTAAAATAGATAAAAACCTCATTTTTGTAAAATCATTAGATGTTTTTATTTATTCGATAATATTTATAGTATTATTAATTCATAGTATACTTATAATATAGAAGCTTAGTTATATTGATTTCCTTAAATTTAATTTGTATATGGCCATTTCGGATTCTTCACGAATTAAATTATAAGTTCTTCCTGTAGTGGTCAAAAGGTTGACGACAGGGATATCATTTTTTGGAAGAATAAAAATATCAGGTATTGAAGGAAAATAAAAGGAATTAGAAGGTCCATTAGGCTGTAAAAATATTACCTTTACGTTTACCTCATCAGGACTAATAATCGGTATATTGGCCACCCACCATTCATTATCATAAGAACAAGTTACATACCCTTTTATACCATTGGTATTCTCCCCTACTCTATTTTAAATATTTTGTAGTGTGGTTTGAACAGCACTGGAATATTTTTTCGTAATTATTTGTGAACAGGATAAACTCCATGAATTTTTTGGTTTCAGGAATGAGCTTTTGAAAACCTTTTAAAAATTCTTTCTCTTCTTGTTATTCTTCATGATTGGAATAAGAAAAATGAATATTTTTTATATTTTCCTCAGCGAATTTGAAGAAATGGCAAAGAAATTTTATTTGATTTTCATAAGGTCGTTGTAAACTGGCCCGTGCAGCCAAGCGTTTCACAGTTCCCTTATTCCATCGCAAGCACTTTTCCCATGCGCAGTAGCAAAGAAATGCCATTCTGCTGGGGACGCCTTTATTTAACAGCAATAAATGGTGCTAGGCTGTGTCAAGTATCAAAAAAATTTAATCGCGCAATTTGCGCAAATCTAGCGAAAAAAAAAATATAAGCCATTTTTAATGGAAAATTAAAATTTTGGCCTAAATCATTTTTTGGTATTTATAGAAATTTGAAAAAATCATTTAGGTCAACATTTTAATTTTCCATTAAAAATGGCTTATATTTTTTTTTCGCTAGATTTGCGCAAATTGCGCGATTAAATTTTTTTGATACTTTGGACACAGCCTTATATAAAGTTATTTTATTTTTTTATTCAACACGCTTGTTTTTTTTTCTTTAACAAATAAATATTAAAAAAAAGTTGTTTATTATTTCTTTTTATAATAATTTTTTTTTACGTATTTTTTTTATCGGTAACTAACGGTATCTCGGGGAAATTTTCGATATTATTATTTTTTTTATTGTTTTCTTTTAAATATTTTTTTTATTATTTTTTTTTATTAATTTTTTTTATTTTTTTTTATTTATATTCATAATATACTAGAGAATTAAGATTTTTTCTTGAAATTTTCAATTATTTAAGATTCTATTTAAGATTTATTCTTAAAATTTTCAATTATTTAAGATTCATTTAAAATTTTTCAAATACTAGATATTTAAGATTTTTTTCTTAAAATTTAAATTTTCTAAAACTATATAATCATAATATACTAGAGAATTAAGATTTTTTCTTGAAATTTTCAATTATTTAAGATTCATTCTAAAAATTTTCAATTTAATTTAAAATTTTGAATCAAATACTAAATATTTAAGATAAAAATATAATCATAATATACTAGAGAATTAAGATTTTTTCTTGAAATTTTCAATCAAATTCTAGATAAATAACCAATTTATTTGAATAAACACTGATAATATAGTTATATATATAATTTTTTTTCTTAAAATTTTCAATCAAATTCTAGATAATTAACCAATTTATTTCAATAAACAATGATAATATAGATATATATAATTTTAAGGAAAAACAAAAATAGTTTTATACATAATTATATCATTTAAAAATTTTATCGGTAAAAATAAGATATATATTATAATTATGGTCTTTTAAAAAAGCTATAATTAAAAATAACAACAATAAATAAAAATAAATTAAAAATAAATAAAAAATAAATTTATAAAAAAAGATGAAAAATTTCCCCGAGATACCGTTAGTTACCTTTTTATCTAATGGAAAAAATATTGATGCTTTTATTATTTAATATATTTTTTAAATATTAAAAAAATAAATTTTTTTTACGTATTTTTTTTATCTAATGGAAAAAATGGTAATTTTTAAATTGATGCTTTTATTATTTAATATATTTTTATTTAATAGGAATTAAGATATAATTTAGAACTAAAAGATTTTTCTACATTAGAACAGTTTATGAGTAATTATGAGAAGAATACCTTTTAAAATTATTATATTTAAAACATATTCCAATAGTATGGACCACAATTTATAACCCAGATTGAAATTTTTCAAATATATTAGCACATGCATATCTTAGAAATATTCATGAAAAGTTATTAATCTAATAATTGTTAAAAATTTTTTATAGATGTTGAGGAATTTAACATTATTCCCAAACAATAGGGCCAATTAATGGGATAATTGAATGTCTTATTTAATCACGAATTAAGTTTTTATTATAATCTTTTGATACTATTAAAAATGTAATATTTCATTATATAAATAACCTTCATGCAATTTTGTCATAATATTCGTTTAATAAATTTAAAAAAATTAATGTTAATAAAGTAAAACAACCTATATATCCTGGCAGGGGAGACCGGGGATGGTTGGGACACTTTTCGTTCAAACCTTAATAATTTTAATTAATCTGAATATTTAAAACATCTTCTGAATCCCAGAAGTATAGGCTATTTGAAATAATTAATATATATTTTATGAAGATTATATTTTTTTAGAAAATTGAATTTAAAAAAAAAAATTTGTTTTGTCCCAACTATGACAGACTCTGTGTACGTTGGGACACACATATGTGATAGTTGGGACACTCGTGAAATAGAGGTCTAAATAAATTTAAAAATTTAAAATCAGTAATCCAGTAAGACTAGAGACTATGACACATATGATTTTATTGATAATATTGTAATTCATAATCAATAATTATATAAAAAAAAATTTAGCAAAATTTAGGAAATTTATTTTGGGGAAAAAAAAATTGTAAAGAAAAAAATGTAAAAAATATATTTTTTTAATCATAAACATAGCGAAAGATAAGTATTTAATTATTCATTATTCACAATACTAAATTAATAATAAAATTGTTTATAAAATGAGCTAAAATGGCGTGTCCCAACTATACTATGACCAACTATGACCGAGCCCACTAACTTTATAAATATCATCCAAAATCATATTAATTCATGTTTATTGATTCTGAAAGTTTGCCAGATTGGAAAATAGGGTTTAGGCTTTCCTAAAATCTATTTATTATGATTTTTGAAGCTTTATTTATAAATATAAACGATAAAGTTTGCAAATATTTTTTATTACTTTTGGTATGCCATAACACCTATTCTTCTGTAAAAATTAAAATACTAAATATTTTTTAGCCAATCATGTATGACAAAATTATTTATGTTAAGCTCAAATTTCCAGTCTTATAAAATAATAGCTCAAATTATAATTAGAATGTCCTAACGTTCCCCTGTACTCAATGTACCCCGGTCTCCCCTACACCAGACTTGTTACGCTTTCCATATTTATATAGATGCATAGCCTAAGCTTAATGTTCTAAGATTTATAAATACAATTTTTTATTTTAATCATGTAAGGTGAATGTAATATCAAAATTTACTAAATAATATTTATTCAGTTAGATATTTTATATATAAAAGTAAAATATTTTTGTTAGCTTATTAAGACATGGTGACAGATTTCTCAATCAAATCCCAAATATGGTATTATTTTTTTACATAACACAAAAATAAATTGGCTGAAAGATACTAAAATAAATTGCAAGGGACTTGTGAAAAACATGAACATCAATGGCTACAATTCTTATGCCATTGAATTAAAATCCAGGAAAGGCTTCAAATTTTGATCTCTTCAATAAATTGTTTCAAATAATTCTTAATTTTATAACTTTGCTAATTATGTTACCCCTATTTCCATTAGATAAAAAAAAATTATTTTTTTTAATATTTAAAAAATATATTAAATAATAAAAGCATCAATATTTTTTCCATTAGATAAAAAGAATACGTAAAAAAAAATTTATTAAAAAAAAATAATAAACAACTTTTTTTTAATATTTATTTGTTAAAGAAAAAAAACAAGCGTGTTGAATAAAAAAATAAAATAACTTTATATGACACCATTTATTGCTGTTAAATAAAGGCGTCCTTCTGCTGGGATAACGAAGTCAATCTGATGATAACACAAATTTTTTTCCTGTTTTTATATTTGGCCGCAGACCCATCGGAATAATATAAATGTATTTATGCTCTGATAAAAAGTAATCTTTTAGAAAGTTTATTAATTTTTTTTGAAATAAATGAAATAGCAGGCATTATGTTCCAGCGACTCAGATATAGCAACATAATTTATATGATTAAATGAATTATTAACTTTGTAATATATTGCAGAGGGATGCAGGGGTGACCTGCGAAGTATGTGGTAACTCTGTACTTCTACTTATTTTTGTTGTAGTTTTGTATTTTTGTTATATATATATGATATATATGTCGTATTGGGATTCGGAATCCGTGGGAATTCGGAATCTCATGATTTTAAATCCTTTAATGAGAGCGATTTTAAAATGTTTAAAGTTCGATTTAACCGGAAATGTATTCTAGCATGGGTAGAGTACCCAAACTGTAAATTTCAAACAATTTTGCCATGAATTTTAGAACTACTTCTAATTTATATTAATTTTTATTTGAATTTTTCATATATATTAAAAAATACTAAAATGTCTAACGCTGAAATTGGCTGAAATTTATAGGGTAAATACTCTACACATGCTGGAATACAATTCCTGTAAAATCAAATTTTTAAAATCCAAAAATCCCCCTTAGTAAATGATTTAAAATTGAGATATTCCGAATCCCCACGAATTCCGAAACCCCATACGACATATATAAATGTCGTATTGGGATATGGAATCATGTGGGATTCAGAATTACAACGTGGTGTTTCGAGATTGAATCCCCACGTTTTATTCGGAATCTTTAAAATAATTTAAATAATATTCCGAATCCCCATGTATATTTTTTAAAACTTTTAAATTATATTTTTTTTCTACCTTTTTTGCCATCTGGCTGGCACCAGAAAATTTCATTTTTTAGAGATATTTTATTTTCTGTTTTTGTAAATTTATATAAAATAAAATCATAAACATTTTTCATATGAATATAAATATATATTTTTAAAAAATCCGAATTATAAAAAATTATTTATTGCAACTCATTTTGCAATTGCATAACAATGTTTTTCCATAGTTTATGATATTCCGGGATGCTCCTAAATATTTTTAGCTGTATAAATAAAAAATTAATATATTGTATGTACATCAATTAATTTGAGGAGTATATATAGGTTATTATAAAAATAACTTAAATTACCTAGGATTGATATATCTTTGTTGGGAACTTAAAAATCATTTAATTAGAGGCAATAAATGGTGTTTAAATTCTTCCAGCACACGTTCCTACCCATATTTTGTTCAATTTTTATTACTTTTCCTTCTAAATTATTAGGACAGATATTAGTTCTAACTGTCCTATGAATGGTAATAACATGTGATCACCTAATATAAAGTAATTTTGTTCAATTATTTGAGAATAAATTAAGTTTTGATGCCCACGATTTTTTAAATATGAAATAAAAGAATGGGCCCTTATTAAAATATTAGAATGCTTCCCAATATTATTGGTAGCACAACTATTTTTCTATGTAATTTTATAGCCAACATTTTTTGAACAATGACTATTAGTAGACCTGTGCGCCGACGAAACTATCGGCGGCCGGCACAATTTTTAAAAAATCTAATCGACGGCCGGCGGCGCGCCGATTTTTAGCCGCCATCAATAAAATCGGCGTAAATCGGCACAGTTATAAATTTTT